CTGCTGTAATCCCCTGGAGCGTGGGCAGAGCGATGGGGGGCACACAGGTGGCACTGAGCTCCTGCAGGCTCCTGCACCCAGGCACCAACCGGGGCGAGAAGCTGAGCTGAAGAGGAGGATGGGCCTCACAGACCTCTGAATCTCTGAACGTCCCCATGCAGAACTGAGAAAATGAGTCCAATAAAACACTGACGATTTGTTTGGATGCTTTCTGATGGGAATGGGTTGACTTCTCCCTATGTGCCAACAGGGGAGCTCTCACCCAACCATCAGCACTGAATACGTACTTCTCCGCTGCCCAAAACGAGAAGTGATGCATATGGATGCAAAACGTTTAAAAGCACCACCAATAATAATAACACTGCGGGGTTTATTTGAGGAATGAGGGCCCCAACCCCAGCTCTTTGCACTTGGATTCGTTGGGGCGCTGCGCCCAGACGGTGCCACCATCTGACGGTGCCATCCGGCGTGCACACTAGATGGCACTCTGCCTTGCTGCGAGGTGACAGCGAGCCGAGGCTGTCCCAGGCATCTGCGACAGGGAAAGGCCCGTCTGTATCTGCCTTCCTGGTGTTCTCAGTGCCTTAGAATCACAGAAGTGGTTTTGTTGGAATAAACTTTTGAGACCACAAAGTGCAACCATTACCTGACCTGTTGAGTCCCATCACTAAAACTTAGTGCCACATCCAGATGCCTCAGACTCAAAGCAGTGACAGCCCTCCTGCTTTTACAGATGGGCAAACAGATACTTTTTGTGCCTCCAAAGCCATAGGGCACAAGCTTCCAACTGCTTCAAGCCTTCACCAACATGCCCTAGAGTTTCCAAGCCAGGATTCCCTGCAAAGGCAGTGCTGAGCACCAGAACCAGTCAGTTACCATCCTGTGACAACTCCTTGCCCAGGAGACAAGCACTGTCTTCGAGCCTATCCCAGCCAGTCTCCACCTGCTGTTGACAGTGAATTATCTGTGCTTTGGGGCCAAGACCATCCTTTGTTCCTTTTTTATACAGCACCTGGCACAATGAACTCAGTATGAAACGTTATCTGATTACACAGCTAATAAATAAACAAGGACCTTGATCCTCTTCAGCATGGGTTTGTCCAAGGCTGCACGCTCCAGAAAAAAATGCTGCGGGCTGCGCTTGATGCTATTTGCAATTCAGATGTGTTTGGGAGACGTGGTGTTCTCAGGACAAGGAGCAGCCGTTGCTAAACCAGAACTTCTCACACATGCATAGCAGGGAGTGGAAAACCAAAACTAGCACGAACTTGATGTCCAACAGCACAAGCCACGTTCTGGCAGGGCATGTTATGAATGCACAGCCTTGGTGTTGTTGCAGATGATGCGAGGACAGGTGATAAGATCATGCTGCTCCAAGGCAGCTATTGCTACAGCATCTCCCTCCTACAGAGAGGTTTGCACCTCCTGATGCCTGCTGCAATGTTCATTAATTGCACTCACTCCCCAACACCTCTCCTGCCACCATCCATGCCCTCTTGTCCCACTGCTGGGGTCACAAAGCACTCTCAGATGGTGCTGCTGAATCACAGGGACCACAAAGCCCAGACCTCTGGGCCAGCCACCACTGCAGGACTGGGCCACCACCTCCATCCCCAGGGCTCTTCTGCTGTGATTTGAGGCTGGGAAATTGCACAGGAAGGTGGGATGCAGCTGTGAGCAGCAGCTCTGACCATGTTCCCCCCCCAAACCAAACCATCCCAAGACATCCTCTGTTCCTTTCCACTCACAAACATCACTGGTTGCCTGGACTTAAAAAAAAAAAAAAAAAAAAAGGAAAAAAAAAAGGAAAAATAAAGAAAGCCTTGTAGAGAAATCTCGAGAGGCCATTAATTATGAGACAGAGAACTCCCCAGATCTGGGAGCAGCGGGGAGGAGTGATACTTACACTCCCAACCTGACGGGGTAACTTTGAAGCATCTTTCATCTTCCCCTGGATCGGGTGTAATCTAATGACATTAGCTTGGCTTCGCTCTAGTGGAATTGGCATTGGTGCTGCAGAGCAGGGAGATTAAAACATATGAAATAAATGTTCCTGGGGTGACTGACAGCCTAATGACATTCCAACAGGCAGCTCAATCAGCGCGAGGCTAACAAAGGATCAGAGGGAACCAGCCAGACTTGCAATATCACCCACAAACACAGATATTTTTTTATTCAGGCTTTTTTCTTTTTTTCTTTTCCCTTGACTGGATTAGCCCCTGTTCCTGAGTTGTCCCCGGGCTGTGTGCAGCCCTGCTCTGGGTGGGGGTTGCAGTTGAACGCTATTAAAACACATGCTCACCTGCTATTGAACTCTGTGAGCTCAATAGCCTTGTTCAGGGCTGAAGCAGCGATTTCTGTGCTGGGAAGTCAATGAGAGCTTTGTGGGCTGCCCCCTCCCCTCCCTTTGTCCCCATACAAACAGGGGACTCGCAAACCCAAAACAGAGAGATCTTCCATTGGCACACATCTTCCCTCTATATTCAACCCACACACGAGATCGGAGGTGTCACACTTCCCAAATTAAACCAGTCAGATTGATTTTTAAAAATCAGCCTCTCTTTAAGACAACCGCCTTGCTGCCCAGACACAATGCTGGCTGTGAGGTGAGCCATTATTCTGCTCGATTTAACAGGCAGCGCTTCCCATCGCTTGTGTGCACTGTGCAGCACCCCAGGGCCATCCTGACCCACTGCCATCCGTGCGGGCACTGGAGGTGCCCTTTTGTTCCTAGGAGGAACCACAATCCTCTCACACCTGAGGTCCCATCTGGAGCAGGTTGCCCAAAGACGTTGTGGATGCCCCATCCCTGGAGGCATTCAAGGCCAGGCTGGATGTGGTCTGGTGGTTGGCGACCCTGCACACAGCAGTGAGGTTGAAACCAGATGATCATTGTGGTCCCTGTCAACCCAGGCCGTTCTATGATTCTATGACATCTCACCTCTGTGCTTCCCAGGGTGTCCTCTGTGGTGCCACCTGGACCCAGGAGTAGCTCCCCTGGTACAAACCTATGTCCATGCAAACAGCCACGCACGTGGTGCTCCCTGCAACAGGGTGCTGGCAGGGCCAGCTTCCTGCGGGCGCTGAAAGCCAACCCCACTGTTTATGCCTTGTAATGATGCTGTTTAGTCTGACGGCTGGGAAACAGAAATGCACGTGAAACCTAAGACTCTGATGCCAAAGATAAGAAATGAGGACCCCTGGCAAACATCTGGCCTTTTCCCCAGCACCGAACCCTCATCAGAGATTACAGCAAACCCACGGAGAGAGACATTGTAAAGTGAGCATTTACAACGGGTGGACAATGGGTTACTGGCGGGCTGACACCGCACTGCCATCACAGCGGGACCGTGTGCGTTCGGAGAGATTACTCACACAAGCAAAGCGGGCAAGATTAGGTCTCAGAGGAATAATCCCATACAAAGCACTCACTGTACCTCAGCCTCCGTAGGGCTAATAAAAAAAAATGGTGAAATTCAGTACATCAAATACCAGAGCAAACAAACTGCAGCAATTAATGGGAGCGCTCGCATACCCGGTGCTCGCACACAACCATTACACAAACAGCCTGCAGGGCAGCACCTCCAACGAGCAGGAGCTGCCAGGTCAGGACCAAACCTCTGGGAAATGAAACCCCCTGCGCTGAGGGCTGTGCTGTGCATTCCCTGCCGGTGGCTCCTCCTCTGTCTGGGTCTGCACTCCTCGCCCAGGCTTCATTTCAAAGCCAGCGGGCCAAACCCGCTGCTGTCTGCTCCCCAGCGCTTCGAGAGTATCTTTGATAAATAAGCTTTCCTGCATATCCCCCATAAATTTCAGTAGATGCCATCCCAAAGCCATGTGTTTATTTTTCAAAGTCAAGCCTTGATTAAACTCCTTGAGGTTTGCAGATTCCTTTTTAATGCTTCCTTTCTGATACGGGGTTGGCATGTGGAAATTGGATAAGCGTGCACTAAAAATATAATTCTGTAGACAGCTTCAGCCCACACGAAAGGAAATCTTTCTGCTTGGAGAACCCACACCCTGCTGCCGGCAGCAGCCCGGCGCGCTCCCAACACCATCGGACACGCAGGGAAGCTCATCACTTCCACGTGTTAAGACTTTACATAAACACTGGACTGCCGGTACTATCCTACTTGGCATTTCAAGGCTGTCACCACGAGCTGAGCCAAAATCACCCTTTTTCTCTATCGACAGCCGTGCTTCACTTGCAAGCAAAATAAGCTCCGGGTCTGCCCCGAATCCTCTCCTTTTTGCTTACTTATTCACAAAAGCCACAAACACGCGATGCAGAAGAGCTGTTTCTCCCCCACCCCAACCAATCTTTTCCAGAGGAACCTCCGGCAGATGCTCCTCTGCGAACTTTGAAACACATGAGGAAATCATCTGAACAGCAACAATGCCCCTTGGCTGTAACGTTCTCCTTCTTCTCAAGGGGACTCCTTCCCTTTGGTTGAATGAAACACTAACGCATTGAAATAAGAACCCCATCCACCGTACTGTTTGTTTTTGAGGCAGGTGAGCGTGTGGGTTGCCCTGGAACTGACAGTGTGGGTTTACTCATCGCAGGGCTGCTGCAACATTTGCATGGGAAATGTGCGCCTTCTGCACGCAGGAGGCAGGAAAGCCGCTTTCAAGGGCTGGGAGTCAGAGGAGCAGCGGGGTTCGGGGCTCGGCTCCCACCCCGCATCCCCGCACAGCCCCGGGACGCGGAGCTCACCGCGCTAGCAGCCCCCGGAGCGTCCGGCAGCTCTGCCCCGCGAGAGTCGGGAGATGCGCCGGGAGCGGGGAGAGCTGAGGGTCAGGGAGGGGGCAGGTGGAGAGGGCTCGGGAGCGCCAGGGACGGGGAAAGCGGTGGAGAGCCGTGGGCTGGGGGATGCAGGGAGCGAGAGGAGCGAGAGGAGCGCTCGGGCTGAGGTTCGGCGGCCAGCGGGGGGCACTGCCGGCTCGGGTACAGCGCTGCCCGGCCCCGCCGTGCCGCCGCCCGCCCCCCCGCCCCGTACCTGTACCAGGCGAGGCCCCGCTCGTAGTTGCGGTCGAAGAAATGGGGCTCGGCGCCGACGGCGCGCACGTCGGGGTGCACCCGCAGGAACTCCAGCAGCGCCCGCGTGCCGCCCTTCTTCACGCCGATGATGATGGCCTGCGGCAGCCGCTTGCTGCCCTCTCCCAGCAGCAGAGTCAGGGTGCCGGCCGTGCCCGCCGCGCTGCCCCCGCCGCCGCCTCCTCCCGAACCTCCGGCCCGGCTCCCTCCGTCCCCGGCCGGCACCTCCGGGCCCGGCGCCGCCTCCTGCCGCCGCCGCCGCTGCTTGAGCCGCTGCAGGAGCCGCTTCCTCCGCGCCGCCGCCGCCTGCCAGGGGGGCAGCTCGGCCGAGCCCCCCAGGTACCCCCCGCCGCCGCCCTCCTCCTCCTCCGAGGCGGCGCCGGCGGCGATGATGGGTCCGGGTAAGGTCTGGCAGCGATCGGCCAGGCAGTAGAAGACGTAGAGGGACATGAGCAGGGAGCAGAGCATCACCAGGAACTTCTTGAAGATGCTGCGGGGCAGCGGCTCGGCGGCGGGGGCGGCCGCCGCGCTCACGGCCATGCTACCCCGAGGCGGCGGCCGGGCGCCCTGGCCATGCTCCGCCGCCGCCCCGCAGCGCTCAGCGGCGGCGGAGGAGGAAGAGGAGGAGGAGGAAGGGGACCGCGCTCCGCCGCATCCCCGCCGCCCCCCGGGCCTCGCCGCGGCGGAGCTTCAAGGGGGCATCGCCTCGGCGGAGCCGCCGCCTCCGGGGCCGGGTGGGAAGAATCGCTGCCGGGAGCCGCCGGCGCTTCTGGGGGGAGGTTCGGCGCGGGGCTCCCACGTGCGGCGGCTGCCGCGGCAAAGTTCGCCCGAACCACCGGCGGGGAGCGGGGCGGGGCGGGGAGGAACGGCGGCCAATGGAGGGGCGGGGGCTGCACCGCCCATCCCGGCGGGAGGGGGCTGCGGGGAGTCCGCGGGGAGCGGCGGTGGAGAGCGGTCCCGGGAGAGCTGCGTCGCTCCCGGCACCGTGGTCGGCCCAGCGCCCTCGCGGTGAGCTCGGCGGGCGTCTGTCGGGGGGTCTCGGCTCCCCCCCGCGGTGTCCATCATCAGCCCGGTGTCCGGGACGAAGTCCTCGTGTGCCTTACGGCTGTATCCTTACCTGGAAGAGATTCTTCGCGCGGAGCCATCCTCCTTATAGCGTCAGTCCGGCTGCGGGGACGTTGAGAGCCGTAATTCGTGCAGCACTGAAAGATCCGAAATCGGTGCTGGAGGACCTGAAATCAGCATGGAAAGACCTGAAATCGGTGCTGAAAGACCTGAAAGCAGAACAGAAGGACCCGAATTCAATTCTGAAAGGTCTGAAGTCAGCACGGAAAGACCTGAAATCAGTGTGGGAAAACTGAGATCAGTGCTGAAAGATACAAAATCATCTAGGAAACATGGGAAATCAGCATTGTAAGACCTGAAATCAGTGCTGATAGCCCAGGAATCATCATTGAAAGATCTCAAATCAGTGCTGGAAGATCTGAAATCAGACTTTCTTCTGCAAATGACCCGCAGGCTGCCTGTGGAATCTGCACGTGCTGACATTCCCACAAACACAACACGGTGCTGCCCTCTGAATTTGCTCTCCTCCTTCGAGAGAGCCCCAAATGCCAGAGCAGCCCTCAGCTCCTCACCTTGGCTGCCTGGTTCTGAGGGCTTCATTATTTCACTGCCTGTGGGAATGTCCTTTTAATTTGAAATGTTTGTCATAGATTGCAGAATTTTTAAACAAACTCACACATGAAACACTTGTCTTAGATCTTCTCTCTCCCCCCTCGCCCCCCGCCTCTGTTTGGTGTGGACCTCAGGAATTAAACTTCAACTCTTTGGAAGTTAGCTGGTGTGTCTACAAATTATTCCATGAAAAGGGGAAAAAAATTGCAGTGAATAATAATCAGCCATCTGCAGAGCTGGCTGACTACTAGAAATGTGTTTCCAAATAGTAAACAGGCCAATATTAATAACAAATGTTACTTGCAATGAATTATCCTACTAGATCTAGATCTAGATCTGCTCAACTTGATGAGGTTACCTCTCTATGCAGACACTCACCTTGAATGCTGGGATTTCCAAACTCAGACCCACCCAGCAGCAGTGCAACCAGATCCCTCCACCTGACGTTTACAAATGCAGTTCCAGCTCTGTGTGTTTGGCCGTGCTGCTGTGTTCCAGGTATTTCCCTGCTCCGACATGCAGGCAGATGCCTGGTGTGAGTTACAAAGGGCTGTAAGCAGGTTAGGCCCCCAACACCTCTAGGCAACTACTTACATCATTAGGAGCCTAAATGCCTTTATAAGCCTACGCTGTGATCCGGGGCTCATTGAAGTCAATGAAAAGACTTTGCTGACATCAATGGGCTTTGGAGTGGGCCCTGCAGAAGGAATGCGATCAATGGGAAGTGCTCTGACTTCTCCCTGCTGCTTATTATGGGCCTTCTTTCCTGGATGCTCAGAACAATGCAACGTTTTCAGTTTGAATAAGTGGTCATTTCAAGTGGGGAAAACAAGAAGGGAGAAGGGGATGGGATGAGTGCCTGCACGAGGCTGTGCCACAGCGCTCACTGCTTGCTGCTTTATTTTTCCTGGAAATATGGGTGAGAATCTCAGCTTTCCATGAAACAGCCACCAGTTGCCTGGGGAAAATATGACCAGACTCTATTTAAGAGTTTTGGTGTCTAGAAAGCAGTAAGCTCAATATATCTGTGTTTAAACCGGCGCTGCGATATTTAAGGCAGTGCTGTGATTTTTCAGAGCCTGACTCATTGCTGCTGCTGCCGGGGCTGAGCATGGGGCTGCAGGAGCAGCCTCCCAAAAAGGGGATTTACTCACTGGGCAGAGCAATTGGGAGATCTCCAAAAGTTTACCTATCTGCACCTATGTTGCTGCAGGCTCTGCTGGCAGAGCTGCAAACATGACCGCCCTTGGAGGTTGATTAGCTTTTGTCCTTGATTTTGAATGTGTTTCTCTTGGTACTCGGACTTTTTGCTGAACAGTGCTTGATAAAGGTAGGAAACCTGGGAGTGATGCCTTATACTCACTTCTGAGGATGTGCAGCTCGTATCTGTTGAGTCCCAGTGCCAAAATAATGATCCTAGTCAGAACGTGGGGGTTTTTAGAGGTTTGGGGCAAAGGGTGCCTTCCCTTTTACTCAACTCAACCTCTCCAGGTACTTCCATACAACTCACAAGGAAAGTTCAAGCCCAGATCCTCCCAAATGCTCAGCCTGTGCCAGTGCCCCATAGCTGTGATTTTTCCCCTTTCCCACTGACCCATAGCCTACATGGGATCAGGGGTTAAACTGGGAGCGTGGTCAAAAAGGGAGTGGGGAACCCAATGCTTAATGAGTGCTTATAGGGCTGGAGGCAAAGGGAGCATGACTTGACATGAGCTGCTCCCAAAGAAAACATCTCATTGTGATGGGGAGCAGGGTTTGGGACAGGGCACAGGGAAGCAGGCTGATCACCAGGGGGCTGTGTGACCCCGCATGGGCTCTGAAAACAAAAGCCTCTTCATCTAAAATGAATAGGAACAATAGCTAATGGGGACAGGCTGGTAGCAGCCTGCGGGTCTGAGAACCTGAAAGAGAGGGAGCAGGAAGGCCCTGTCTTACCCCAACCTCTATTGAGCTCAGCCATCTACTGGGTTTTTCCCTTCTCAAATCACAACGAAAGTTCAAGGACATCTTGCCTGCAGGTTGTGGGACTTATCTTGTTCCTGAGAGCCCCATTGGGTCCTCACTCCTGCTATGCTTCCTGGGTGAGCCCTGGTCCCACCAGGCCTTTGGGAGCAGAATCCATGCGAGCAGAGCCTCCCGAATCCTCCAGTAAAGGATTTTTGGGGGGGATATTTTCAGCCTGCCTTCACTTAACCCAACAAACTGACTTGACCCAGTGCAGACTATTGAATGCCTGCCCCCAGCAAGCAAGCAGACCTGCGAGCAGAAAGCAGATGAAACCTTGATCCTGCTTTGGCTGAGGCAGAAGGCACTCATCCAACAGCCACTGCTGGGATCCAGCTCCATCCACCCGCATCGGATCCTTCCTCCCAATGGAGGCTGGGCCAACTTGATTAGGAAGCTGGCACACGGTGTGTGGACATCTGGGAGCCTCAGGTCTGCAGCATGAATTAATAAGATGTGGTAAGAGGAGGAGGCTGAATGGGACTCAAGGCGCTGCGTGGGCTGAGGGCTGAGTCGTCCCAGAGGGTCCCTGTCCCTCACCCTGCCCTTCCCACTGTGCTCAGGGAGAAACCTTGATCCTATGGATGGATGGAGGAAGCCCTCTGGGATTTTGGGATAATGCTTCTGCATCTAGGGGGCAAAAGGGCTGGTTTTCAAATGACCCCATTTGAAAAATATAGGCTGATGTATGTCTGGAGTGCCTCTGCAGATTGTTAATGGCTCAGCCTTCTGTGAAAGTGGCTGCCTCAGTTCCCAAAGGCTGCAGTGTGCTACATGGTGGGTCTGGGTGCTACATGATGGGGTTGGGTGCTAAATGGCAGTTGCTACATGTGGCATTGGGTGCTATATGGGGCAGTTTGGGTGCTACGTGTGGATGGTTGGGTGCTTCGTGGAGGGGATGGGTGCTGTATGATGGGGTTTGGCTGATTTATCTTGATGTTGGGTGTTATGTGGAGTGTCTGCTACATGAGGGGGTCTGGGTGCTACATGATGGGGTTGGGTGCTATATGGTGGATGCTACAAAGTGAGTTTGGGTGACATATGGGGTATTTTGGGTTCTACATTGGGGTTGTTGGTTGCTACATGGAGGGGCCTGTGACATATGGTTGGGTTGGGTGCTACATGGAACACAGTGGGTGTTACTTGGAGCAGCATGAGTGCTGCACGGAGGCTCTGGTTGCTACATGGAGCAGTCTGGGTGCTACATGGTGGGCTTTGGGGGACACATGTTGATGCTGGGTGTTGCATGAGGCATATACACGGCGGTGCTTCATGGTGGTGGTTGGCTGCGTGGTGCTGTAGAATGGTCTGGGTGCTTGCTGGTGGGGCTGGTTGCTATATGGGGCAGTTTGTGTGCCCCATACATGAGGGGTACAGGTGCCATATAAGAGGAGCTGGGTGCTACATGCAGGAGTCTGGGTGCTCCACGCTGGGCTTTGGGTGTTGACATTTCCATGCGTATTGCCCATGGTGAGGGCTGCACTATTCAGGCACCCCTACCTGTTGGTTGCTCTGCTTGGCTGGCAAAGCAAAGAACATTACCAGTGCTCTGCAGCCACTGCAGGCAAATATTTACAAGAGCTCTCCAAGAGAAACCCATAAAATGCTCCTTGGTATAGCTTTTGGAGCATCACTCCAGACAGCTATATTAGCTGGAACATGAAGTAGTTACACTCCTGCTGCTCTCCCTGTGCTTTCGAAACAGATACTTGTCTCTTTTATTACCTTTGTTTGTGTCTTGTTTTATTTGTGTGCTGTGTGCCTCGTTGTGCCAGGTTTGGTACGGTTGTGACCAGCCGTGGTTTGGAACAACAATAAATACCATCAGGGCCTTTTGTTCATCACTCAAAAAAAAAAAA